ACCTTGCATCCTTCCTCAATTTGCTCAATTCTCTTTCTAGTTTAGGATTAAAAATCAACTCTCCCGCTTAAGACATGGTCATATACTAGTAGTAACCAAAGCATAAGAATAGTCAATAATATCCAATAACAATAAACTTCAGCTGTAGTCCTCGGTAACTATGCCAATCTAATGATGGGTCGTACCATCAATAAATTAGTAATTTATATGTGTCCTTATTGAGCTTTTAATCATGATTCTATAATCGGGGCATGTAAGGGTTTAACTCATAGAGAAAGGGATCAGTCAATTGCTTTAAGTGTTCTTGTGTGTAAAAGAGGGGTTTTGTATGTTTGAGATGCTTACAAATGATATAAAGTAATAAGAGATAACGGTATGAGAGTAGCCTTGGTTGAACTTTGGTATCCATTTTTATTTGATCGCCGATCATTGATTAAACAATTAACCCATCCTAACATGATATTCACCATAAGACAATAACAAATATGTTGACTCTAATCTTTCCTTACCTAGTTGTTAATTACATATACGATATCCAATTAATTCTCTAGTTATTGAACAACCTACTAAGCACTAGATAGATTTAATTCAATAACAACATTAAGATGAGAAAGATAGGTGAAGCTAAATCATCTTCCTAAGTACTAAAGAATATGTAACTTAGTTCTATGTTTTCTAAGGAATTGAACGAAAACATCACTAATCATTAACTCATAGTTACTACCACGGACAAATTTAGACAAGTAATTACACAAACTTGAATACTTAACTAGTAATAGGCAATATGAATAAACAACTAGCATGCACTATAACCGACTTAATCAAACAATTATGAACCAATCATGTAGAAAAATATAAAATACCTAATAGAGATAAGTTTAGAATTAAAAACTAGTAATCTCACAAGCGATTAGACAAAAGCTTCAACTTAATTCAACCAAGAAGGAAGTTTAGTTGCTCATGATCAAAGAGAGAATTCTATTAATGGTGGCTATAGAAAGTTAACTAGAGAGACTAAATAATACCCTAACTTTACTATTTATAGCCAAAAATAAGGTTATACCACTTTTTGAGTCGGTATGATCTTGTCATACGACTTGATATATAAAGTTACATGATTTGCCACTTAATATCACATGGTTTGGAACCATGGAGTTTGGATGACACACGGCTATGTGGATTTGTTCACAAACCATATAGCCAAGCTTCTACTCATATAGATCTTCTTCTCCTTAGCCATATGGCGCGTGAGGTTTTGTATTACAAACTATGTAAAGAACTTTCTCGCCCATGTGGAGCTTCTTCTTCAATGGCACACGGTCGTGTATAATTGCCCACAAACCATGTGGAAATGTTTCTACCCGTGTGGCTTGCTATGCTTGAGATTCCACATGGTTTCCTCCTTTAAGTTACACAACCATATGACTTTTTTAAGCATCTTTTAGTGACTTCTCTCTTCCTTGCTTTGGTTTTGAGTTTCCTCGCTTTGATTCTTCGTTTTTCTTACAAAACCCAAAATCATTATTTTATTCTTAAATAACATAATATAATAAAATAAACAATAGAAAGTTCAATGTATTAAAGCATAACAATCATACTAATTATACACCCATCATCTTCTTCTTCTTTTTTGTTGTTATTGGTGAGTAATCGTCATCAACCTCTAAAATTTAGGAAACTCGATGGTACGTTCACCAATTAATTTTCTATTCTAATTATTAAAAGAAAACCTAAATAATTAAACATTTTGATTAAATAAATCAATCAATAATTCAATGAAATTAAATTTAAAATAGGTACAAAAATAAAAGGCATTTATTAAAAAAAATCAGACATGATTCTCTAGGGAAAAAAAAGCTAAAAAGGAAGTTATTGGGCCTTTTCAGCCCATTAGGCTTTCGACCCATTAGATCGGGCCTAGATTGGGCTGAAGATAACCCTCTTTCCTTTTTATCCTTTCTTTTTTGTTAGACTAGTCCTAGCTCAACTTATTATTTATTTATTTATTTTTCTGGCTTAGCTAGAACTAGACAATTTTTCTCTCTCTTTTTTTTCCCTTCATTTTCGAGCCAAGATGAACCCAGCCTTTTTCCTCTTTCTCTCTCTTTTTTTTCCTCCTTTTCTTCTTTCATTTCCTTTCTTTCTTTCTTTCTCTACTCTTACTCAGTCGTTACATTCTACTTTGTTTCATTTCATCCTCCCTTACCCAGTGTCTTTTCTTATAGAAATCAACTCAATAGCATGTTTATCATCCAACTACTAAGAACATGAAAGGGAATCGAGCAGCAAGCGCTCACTCTGGCAATGGATTCACCACTGTCATTCCCTGTTTAAAGCTTGAAATCACAAATAACCGTAGGTATAAGATCAATAGAATGGACAATGGACAAGTACACGTTACCTAAATGTAATTAATAACAAAAATGATTAGAGTTTGGTGATGGTATTGTGATTGTCCCTCTGTTTGTAGGTGATTGAAAGCTTTGGGTGCATTGGATTTATGAAGGACTGTGTGATCAGGGACTCATGGATGTGTTGTTGTTGTGACTAGGGAATGGACGAATGATCGAAAAGAATAATTTTTGGTGTTTTTTGAATTCCAGAATACCTAAATGAACCTTCCAGTGCTTGCAAATGATGGGGATGAATGATGGATTGATTTAGGGACAATCAAGCGATCTAGAGCTTGTTGTTTTGATGATTAAGGACTCACAAACACTTATAGGGATAATTTTTGGTGTTTCTCGAAACCCAGAATGCTTGAGCAAACCCAGGAAATCAAGAACGAAACCCAAAAATTTAAGAACAAACTCAGATGTTTATCCAAAAACCCAGAACTCCAAACGAAACCCAAAAAACTAAGAACACCAACCCAGAAAACTAAATGCCTAGATTTCTTCCTTTTACTCTCTCTGCTCTGATTTTCCCTTTTTCTCTTTCGATCCCTCTTTCTGACCTCTAAAATACTCCTATTTATACCCAATTTCTGCTAACCAAAACCAATTTTCCCTCTCCTTCCTTTACTATTAGTCGTTCGATCAAAGCGCTCTCTCTCTCTCTCTCTCTCTATTCTCCTATTTCCTAATGTTCTAATCCTTTCTCATCTTGCAACGTAACTTGCGAACTAGGAAAGGATGGATCGATGAGCTGGTTGAGGGAATCAAATTCAGTTGGAAAATTAGGAAGGATCAAAACCATTCCGGGTTTTCCAACGCATGAGACAATGAATGAAAATTCAATGTCTAAATTGTAATTTGACGAATCAGTCCTCCTCCTTCCTAAATCTTTCAATCACGTCCTCCTATTCTTTTCAATTATGCCCTTAATTCTTTCATATTTTTGTTTAATTTGACCCCTATTAGCTTCCAATTTCGAATTGATTTAATGCTATTATGCTCCTTGATTAAATCTATCCTTCAATTTTGCATTTTATATATTTTTTTATTCTTTTGATATACCTATTTTTATTATTTCTTTTTTTAATAATAATAAGTAATAAAATGGAATAAATAAAAATAAAATAACTATAAATACATAAAAAAAAATGAAGTGAAAAAAATTGAAAATGACATCAAATAAAGAACAAACTAAAATAATAACTAATAAAATAAAAATAAAAGGATTAAATAAAATAATAACAATAAAATAGAAATAAAATGGATAAAATTAGGGAAAAACATAACCTAAAATTTGAATTATGACAGTGACAATGGTTCTATTTCAATGGAAAAAATAGGTGATTTGTTCGAAGGGTTTAAGAAATCTTCCATGATTAAGTTTGTTTCCTTCTATTAAGGGGGAAAAAAATCTTGTGTACTTGCATCAACATTAATTGGAAAATAGACACATGCTAAGAAGACATCACAGGGAAACTATCATAGCTGGAAGAATTGCAATGAATGTAGACGGGAGTCAAATTTACAGTGCTGTGCATAAAAAAGTTTTAGGTGGAAGTCGTTTCACATTAAAGAACGATAGGGCTCTGTCATCTCGCATTGAAGGGTAAGTCATCTGTGTTAAATGATTTTACTGGCTTAAAGCCAAAGTTTCTTTCCAACTTATCAAGTTTTAAAAAGTGCACGGGAAAAATATTTACGGTTCCCTTGGAGACAGCCTCGTGATTAATACAAATAATAATAAAATAATAATAATAATAAATAAAAATAAAAATAAAAAATCTCCAATTAGAGGTTTCAAATTAAAATCCTTAGATGGATTGAGTGGCGTTTAGAGCTAGATAAGGACCACCATTATTAATGTCAAGGGAGCTGAGCTAAGTATAAGATAAAGAGGCAATTATACCCTTAATTTTTTTCAAAAAAAAATAAAAATTTGCCTCTTTTTTTTCTTTTTTTTCCCTAAACATTTGCCCCTCATGGTTTTTTGAAGCTTTCCCGTTACACCATGATATATCTACTAAAAAATGACTTGTTTAGAATAATTGTATGAGATTATCATTTAAATTGACTATTTTATATTTTACAATTCAATTTTAATATGATATTTTTTGTTTAAATTTAATGTTGCATAATAAAATAATACTATATATTTGTGTAAAAATAACTATTAAATCAGTATCTTTACTCTTGTCCTTTTTAACTAAGAATCCTAACTCTCAAAACGCGTTAGGTCTTTCTATAAACTAAAAACTAAAAAGGATTTCACAAATATGAAATACATGTAAAATGCATGCAATAAGAGTGATGGTAGCTAATGACGTTAAGGAGTGGGTACTAGTATCTAACCATCATGATTGTATAATCTTTGTGACTTATGTCATCTCATCACAAAAACTTGTGTAAACCTCTCACGCCATCTCCATTCTGCTTTGTCATCCTCATTTATACCATTGACGAATCCACACCATTTTGGCAATTACCTAACAAAATAACTTACAAACATTTAATAACCATATGGCATTTTTATAGGGATATGTGTCTATAAATACCATGAAGTGATCTGAATTAGATACACGAGAGTTATAGATTGATCGCAAAGTAATGGGGCATAGTAGAGTTGTCTGGGGTCTTGTAATATATTGTGTCTTGGCTAGTCAAATTTTGCTTGCAATGGAAAATGAAGGGTCATGCACAGCTACTAACTACGGAGATGCCCTTGGCAAAGCAATCTTATTTTTTGAAGGGCAACGTTCTGGGAAATTGCCTGCCAACCAGCGAGTAAAATGGAGGGGAAATTCTGCTCTCTCTGACGGCCAGCCTGATAATGTATGGCAAACACTGTACTATTATTTTTAAGGGACTAAAATGTGTTCTTTCTGAAATTAAACTTGGATTATTTTTAAGTTGATTCCTGGTCACCAAACTAAGAGTATTTAACAGCCTAACTAACAAGAATACAAGAAAATTAGGAACAAGTTAAATCACTCAGAAAGAGCAAAACTAGTACTTGAGGTGTAATTTGATATTTTGTGATACGTTTTGGCAGGTGAATTTAATAGGAGGCTACTATGATGCTGGGGATAATGTGAAATTTGGATGGCCGGTGGCATTTACTGTTACTTTGTTGAGTTGGGCTGGAATTGAGTATCAGAAAGAGATATCTTCTGTCAACCAGCTTGGTTATCTCCACAGTGCAATCCGTTGGGGCACTGACTTTATTTTGCAATGTCATACTTCATCCACAACATTTTACATCCAGGTAGTCTTCTTTTCCATATGATTTTGTAATGGCTTATCTCTAGAATTCGTGAAGCATATGTTATTCCTACTTCATTTTTGTGATACTATCGTAGGTTGGGGATGGAAATGCTGATCACCAGTGCTGGGAACGTCCTGAAGATATGGAAACTCCTCGAACACTCTACAAGATTACTCCGAATTCACCTGGAACTGAGGCTGCAGCTGAGGCAGCAGCCGCTCTTTCGGCTGCTTCAATTGTTTTCAAGGCTGTCGACTCCAGCTATTCCTCCAAGCTATTACAACAATCAGAATCAGTAAGGCCACAACTTTTAAATGTTACCAATTAAACTGTGATGAAAACTCTTTGGCTGACTCATTAAGGATGCTATGTAGTTGTTTGATTTGGCAGACAAGTATAGATCATCTTATAAAGATTCTTGCCCTTTCTACTGTTCATTCTCGGGCTATCAGGTATAGATAAAAAGCTACCTGAAGAAACTGACACTAGGATTGGTATATTTGTGTCTAGCTATGAACTGACTATTTCTGACTTCCGAGTTCTTATCAAGGATGAATTATTGTGGGCTGCAACTTGGCTGTATAAGGCTAGTGGTGAAAACAAGTACTTGAGCTACATCTCGAGCAATAAAGGCTGGAGTCAGGCGGTGTCAGAGTTCAGTTGGGACAACAAATTTGCCGGAGTTCAGACATTACTTGCAAAGGTATTGCTATAAAAATTATGATCCTAAAAACTTGACTCCTTATTCTTTCGAGAACCTGAAAGGCAAGAGCTAAACTTTTTTTAAGGAATTCTATGGTGGGAAAAAGGATTTGGACAAGTTTAAGAGTGATGCAGAATCATTTGTATGTGCATTGATGCCGGGGAGTAGTTCTGTACAGATTAAAACAACTCCTGGTAAGTAAACCAAAAAGGGTGATTAAGGCCACTAAAATACCTAATTTGAAAATGACAAATTTATGATAGTGTCAGTGATAGATGAGGTTCTGTGTTTGATTTGCAGGTGGGCTTCTGTATACTAGAGATAGTTCTAATTTGCAATATGTCACAAGCTCTTCCATGCTGCTATTTATCTACTCCAATACCTTGACAGCAGCTCATGTTAGTGGTGTCCAGTGTGGCTCTGCACATTTCTCTGCATCTCAGATTAAAGCCTTTGCAAAATCACAGGTAGATTCCACATTCTCTTCCAATGGATCACCAAAAAGAAAAGGATAAAGACGTAGGGACACAAATCATAACACAGATCCATTACACACACAAAGGCCGAATTAAATTTTGATCAATAATTGTTTATGATTGTGTGATTAGGTCCTTAGCCAACCAAAAAATAAAACTCTCCTTTTATTACCCTTTTGCCCCTTGAAGTCTTTATATATTGAATTAAGTTTACACCATAGATGAGGTATATGATACAATAAATTTTTTTTTCGGTTGACGTTAGAAAAAAATTAATAAATCTTTATTGAAAGTAGACAAGTCCAATCGATAAAACTATAAAAACTAAATCATTCAATCAAACATCAATAATTAAAAAACCCTTTTCCAACGAAAAAAAAAACAAAAAAGTGATTTAGCTCAAACTTCTATTGCTATTCAAGTAATTTTAATAGATACATGTGATAATGATTTCATATTTGACAAAGAATTTCCTAAATAAAATAAAATTTCTTATAATCATTTTTTTTATTGTTGTGTGTGTATGTATATTCATTGATAATATAGAAGAAAAGAACATACTAGACAAAGTAAGATGGGTTGAGATTATTTCCAGTATATAACTTGACTTAATATGCTAAACAACATTTGGTTTATAAATTGTTGATGTTATATAAATAACAAATTTATATTTGTTGATAATTTGAAAGAAGATTGCAGAAGTTAAAAAGATTATTAGTAGAAAGAAATAAAAAACTTTATCAAATGATATAAAAATTAGATAAATTAAAACAAACAGATTTTTGTAAAGAATTATTACTGAGAAAAATATCATTTTTACGAACAATTTCTAAAAGTTAATATGAGGTATTATCTTAGATAACATAAAAAAATTTTAATATCGATTTGAGAAAGGAATATCGATCTATAGTGTTTAATTATATCTTGTTAGGTATAGGTATGATTATTAATAAAAAGCTATTATATAAAAATTGGTTATTTTAGATTATATTGATAAACTGAGAAAATGTAAGACCAATATGTATTCTGGCATCAAATCCAAGGATTGAAATGAAGTATCAGATAAAGACGAACTAATCTAAAAGACAAAAAAAAAAAAAAAATGATAACAATCTAACGGTTACAAGGGAGCGTGCTGCGTTGCAATGGGCACCGTATCACGGTCCGGGACCTTTAAAAACTCTTGAACCACGTGAATTCATTAACGTCCCGTGCTTTTTAGGTGGACTATATACTTGGGTGCAACCCAATGAAGATGTCATACATGGTGGGTTTTGGCAGCAAATACCCTACTCAAATTCACCATAGGGGTGCATCCATCCCCTCGATCCAAGCACACCCATCAAAGGTTGGCTGCAATGATGGCTACTCTAGCTATTACTTTTCTAGCCAACCAAATCCAAACACACATGTTGGTGCCATTGTTGGAGGTCCGGATTCAAATGACCAGTACAAAGATTTAAGATCAGACTACTCTCATGCTGAACCTACAACTTACATGAATGCAGCCTTTGTGGGCTCAGTGTCTGCTTTGGTAGCTGAAAGCAAAGCAGAGTGCTCGCAATTGTGGCATCCGGCTAAAACCAAGAAGATGACTGATTACATGTAGTACAGAAGAAGTGAATGTAATTAGCACTATTTAGATCCATAGATAGGATCTATTGTGCACAATTAGTACTATTTAGATCCATAAATAGGATCTACTGTGTACATTATAAGCAGTGGCTGACACCAATTTGCATTAAGCAATTTATATATAGAATTAAGGTCTCATGAATAACACATTATATGAGAAACCACTTTTTTCTTCCTTTTTAGGGATTTTTCATATGAACTTCTATTTGCATTTTTCATTTCTTTAAAAATTCAGAATTCTCAAGCAAACTAAATTTGGTTACCCTCCAATTTTTGCTAGTTAAAAACGACATTTGAATATTTCCAATGGTTAAAAATTGAATAAAGAAAAAAATAAAAATAAGGCGCCCCAGGCCTAGGTAGTCACTTCAAGTTGAAACTCTTGGTTTTGTCTCCCACCTATGAATTATGATCTTGTTAGTTCATATGATACGTTGTATCCTTTTTATTCTTAGAATTAAAAGTTCTACATTTGTGTACGTAATATATATATATATAAACAAAAGGAAGACCTAAGATTTATACTTTAATGAATGATCATATAAGTGAATTGCCTGATAACATTTTGTCTTTTATTCTCTCTTTTTTGACAAAGAGATACTACTAAAACAAGGTTGCTCTCAAAAAGATATTGGAGATATTGTAGGTTCAAAAAAAAATGGAATTATAGAGAAAGAGATTAGAAGAATGCAACAGCGAAGGAAATTTACTTTATTTGATCAACGACCTTACATTTAAATAGTTAAAAAAAACGAACCGAAATAACTCATGGATTGAAAATAAAGTCACTAGAGCCATGATGCAAAACAATTCAAAAAAAAAAAAAATTAACAACTTTCTAAAGATTAGGACAAACTTTATTGAATGGGAATAACTTAATTAAATAACTAAAATAATAAAAAAGTTATGTCCAATCCTAAAGTAAATATTTAACACTCTTCCTTGCTTTAGGAACTACAAATCCAAATCTTCTCGCCATTGTTATGCTATTTGGTCTTTAGAATAGTTGCTTTTTGGATCTTGTGAGGATCTACTTGTTGTTTCTCCGGTCTCATTGCTCATCCTCATTGAAGTGTACATCTTTAGTGATAGTCATTTTTCTCATTTGTGGATGATACACTTCGTAGGCTTTTGAAACCGAACAAGAACCCACAAAGATTCTTAGAATTGCCTTCTTGTCAAGTATATCATGCTTAACCTATGGAATATGAGCAAAACACACACAGTTAAACACTTTAAGAAAACTTAATGAATGTTTATATCCATACCAAGCCTTAAATAGAGTTTTATCTTCCAAAGTCTTGGTTGGAATTCGATTTTAGAGAAAAACTACTATGTTAGCTACCTCTGTCTAAAACGTTTTAGGCAACGCCTTCTTATTCAACATACATCTAACCATCTCCATTACTCGGTCTATTTTTCCTTTCGCTAACTCCATTTTGTTTCGGAGTATAGGGAGTTGGTGTTCAATACTAGCTTTTTCGTAGAACAAATTCAATTTTACTTAGGTGTACTCCTTTCCATTATCGGACCTTAGAAATTGAATCTTACAATCACTTTGATTTTTCATCATTTTCTTGAACTTCCAAAATACTCAAGCCACTTCTAACTTGAATTTCAAGAAATCTAGCATATTCTTGTAAAATCATCGGTAAAAAAATATAATAGAGGTTGTCTTGTAATGTTGGCGTTCTTTAAGGTGTTTCCACATCTATGTGAATTAGTGGCGGCTTTTGGAAGGCTCTCCAAGTCGATTTAAGAAATGACATTCAATCTTGTTTACCTAATTGGCAAGCATTGCAATTTGGCAAACGATTAGCAAGAACTAGTAAACCTCTCATCATATCCTTCTTATTCATTTTTAACATTCTTTGAAGATGACAATGACCAAATCTTTTGTGTCGATTTCTATGGTACTAACTTCATTGTAATAAGTTGTTTGCTCATCCTCTCGTTAGATCAAATAAGAAGTTTTTATCTATTATATTAGCCCTTAAAATCTCCCGACTAGTAGTATCATGGATAAGGCGAGTGCTGATTTTCAAAGGATACTTTGAATCCTTTTGTATCAATTGACTAGCACTCGACAAATTTTGGTCAATATTAGGTACATAAAGAACATCCGAAATTATCTTTATACTCGAACTTTTTGTAATTATAATGGTTTATTTTTCCTTTTGCATAAATATAGCCATCGGTCCTTATTCTAACCTTTGTGATTTCAATGGGCTTCAAATCCTTCAAGAGAGTTTGGTTATAAGTCATGTGGTTTGTACAACCATAATCAATAAGCCAACATTCGAAGAGCTCCCGGTTGAAAAACATGTTACCATAAAAATCTGGTCTTCATCATCTTGATTGGCGACTTGGACATTACTTCATGTTTTTGAAGTTTGCTTTTGTAAATCATAGCTTCATGTCCAAGCTGATTGCACGTATTGTATTTGGTATCTAGTCTCTTCTAGCATTTGAATGGTGGATGACCCGGTTTGTCGTAATGCTTGAGAAGGTGGATAGTTTCTCTTTGAGCTTCTAACTTTGCTTTGCATCTAGTTATTTGCAATGTTTTCATTGCTTGATGCCCGATTTTCTTATAAGTTTTCTTCTTGTTCTTTCCACCATCTAGTGCTTGGTTGGTAGGGCTCTTTCAACCATACGATCTTGTCTCATAAGCCTTCGTTGTTCTTAGGCTTGCAAGGTATTTAACAAAACTACCAAGCCGATCTTATATAGATCCTTTGTGTTCTCCAAGGTAGTTATAGATGCTTCATATCTTTTAAGCACAATTGCAAAAATTTTCTCTACAATTCGGAATTGGTAAATTCGATGCCAAATAACCTTACCTTGTTAACAATCCTAAGCAATATGTCCGAGTACTCTTTTATTGTCTCGGACTCTTTCATCTTTTGCAACTCAAATTTCTTTATTAAATTCAGCACTCGCATGCCTCGTATCCTTTCTTCTCCTGCATATTTTCCTTTAGGTAATCCTAAATTTCTTTTTCTATTTTGAGAGATATGACTCTTGTGAAAATGTTTGTTGAAACAACAACAAACAAACATGTTTTTGCTTTTGACTTCTTGGTTTTTCTTTCCTTTTGACTTTTGATCTAGGCCATAGTGGGATTGTTTAGCAACAAAAGAACTTGATATTCCTTTTCCATGGCTTTCTAAAGATCTAAAACCTCCGAGTATGACTCCATCCTCACTATCCAAAGTCGATAGTTTTCTCCATTAAAGACATGAGGAGTAATTTGAGAAAAACTAGCTTCGAGTTGCATTTCATAGATCCACTTAAGAATAGGGCTTTTATACTAATTGTAGGTTTCAAAAGTGAAAAAAAAAAAAAAAGGAAATTGGAATTGTATAGAAAGAGATTAGAAGAATGCAACGAGTAAAGGGAATTCACTTTATATTATCAACAACCTTACATTTAAATAGCTAAAAAACGAACCGAAAAATAATTCATGGATCGAAAATAAAGCCATGATGCAAAACAAGTCAAAAAATAAATTAACAACTGCCTAAAGACTAAGACAAACTTTATTGAATGGGAACAACTTAATTAAATAATCGAAGCAATAAAAAAAGTCACGTGCGATCCTAAAGCTAATATTTAATAGATATATTCCTTTTACGGCTCTCTCCCTTCTTGAATTTGATGCTAATAATGTGTTTTGAAATGGAAGGTAGAAAAGGAACTGGTGCCCTCAATTTTTAAGCTACGACTTACATGTAATCAACAACATTCATTCGAAGCCGACAAGGCATTATTAGAAGGGTTACAACCAATCAAGATAGTGAAAAAACGAAGTAAACATATCAAATAAACACCAATTATAATCAACTATTGCAATCTTTTAACAATGGACGGTAGCTCCATCTCCGGCGAGTGGGTAAGGAGCTTTAATAATCAAGCAACATCAACCTTCATTCATTAAGCCAAAAATTCTATTTGACTCGTTAAACAAGCTGGCCACTAAATATGTTAGGAAATTAAAGATTTGGAATTCAACATGCCACCATGGACAATTTAATTCAATGAGGAAAAAAGAAAAGATAAATAAAGATGAATAAAAAATGGATATACGAGATTTAATGTAGTTTGGAAACATTTTGCCCACTCAAAATCTTGAGAATTTTTTTTTCATTAAGAAAAAATTAATTCAAGTATATAATTATGATTTTTATACCTAAAACTCAATTTTAAAACCTTTTGTACTCCTACTCTCACACTTAAAGAAAACTTCGTAATCTTGTATTTTGTACACTAAAACTACATATCTTTTTAACTATTTATGATAACCAAAATCCTTAATGTACTAGGAAACTCAAAGAATCCTTGATGTTGAAAAAATCATTTATGGAAAAAATATCTTTAGTCATTATTCCACTCAATTTACTTGAACATTACTCTAAAAAATATTAGTTATAAGCACAATAATCTTTTCTTTCACAAATATTATTGCAACTTTGAAATTTATTCACTCCTTCTACTTGTAAATATCGCATACGGACAAGTAGAAATAACAATTGATCTTAAAATTTACCAATTACAAATGAACTAAATCAATAAACAATCATGAACTCCTAATTCAAAAAAAAAATTAAAAAAAACGATCAATGCTCATGTGCGATTGCTTCTAATTAACTTTACTTGTTAACTCTAAAATGGATCATCAATCCATACTATCTCTTAGTAGAATTTTTTTCCTCACACTTATTTGAAATCTAATAATGCATAATTCTTATCTTTTTTTCTAATCATCAAAAAGACTCTTTTCAAGTATCATCATATGTATTCCATTTCCAGCTACTCTTTGAAGTCATTGTCTTTCTAATTAGACGATATAAACCATCATATTTCTTTATTATTATTAGGAATATGCTTGCATGTGTGACATTTAAGACTCCATAGTTATAGCAAAATAATCTGTATCATTTGGAGTCTAACTAACTCAATGATTTCATATTCATGTACATCTTTGAGATAGAAGCCACACCATCTAAAATAAGAACTACTCCATCAAATATTTGATTTTTACCATTCCAAGACTAACATCACAAGATGACACACCCTTCACGGTTATAGTGTCAATCTTTTTTTTTTTTTTGAACTCATCTAAATATTCTTTTTGGAACACACATGTAAAATTTAATATCCAACTATGATGAAAAAAAAAAATATCAATACTTTTAGAGACTATAAGGACATCTCCATAATCTTCTACCATTATCAAAAAAATTTCAACATCATCATATTTATCCACCTTTTTTTTTCGGGAACAATCTTGTTTGATGTGATCAAATTATTTGCACTTGTAATATTAAATGCCTTTTTCGCTAGACCTTTGATCATACCTACCATTCTAAGATCTCCTTTCATATAATCATTTTTTTCGATACTTTTTTTTTTTTTGTTACCAATACAAAGGTAATTTTTCTTTTTCTTACTTTGAATTTCTCTATGTCTCAAAAGATTAAAAAAAAAAAAATAGTGTGTAATTGATCTAAATTTATTGTATCCTTGCCATTTAGCAATGTCATCACTAGATTTTCAAATAAATGGAGAAGAGAGGTAAGAAGTGAAAAGACTTTATCTTCTTCCTCAATTTTAACATCAACTTTTCATAATTGATCAAGTATACCAATGAACAAATTCAAGTGCTTTATAAGATTTCCACCTTCTTCCATTTTCATCTTATAAAGTTGTCTCTTTAGATGTAATTTATTATTTAAATTATGCGTCAAATAAAGATTTTTTAACTTTTCCTATATTGTAGGTGTCGAATCTTCATCAATAACATTATTGATAGTGTTATCAACAATACAAAGTCAAATCATGTTCACACTCCTTGATTCCAACCCATCCCAATCATTCTCCTCCATTTCTTTTGGATTTTTATCATTTTTCTTCAATTTTTTAGTCAAGATCTGTTGAACAAGAATGCCTTTCATCCTTCATTTCCATAGAGTAAAACTTCAATTTTCATTAAAGTATTTCTAAAAGTTGAATCTTCTAAAATCAAAACTACGATACTAGTTTGTTGAGAAATTAATGAACCAAGATTCAACACATCACCATAAATAACTCAATTCAATGGGGGAAAAAAAAAACTAAAAACAATAAAAATGAATAAAGAGTGGACACACAAGATTTAACTTAGTATTTTCTACTCTACAAATTGAAAAATAATTATTTATTGAGAGAAAATTAATAAAATAATATGAATGTAATTTTTATACTCAAAATCCAATCCCAAAAATCCTCTTATACACCTACTCTCACAGTGTAAAAAAAAAAAACTTTTCAACTCGTGTTTTGCACATTAAAATTATACAACTTCTCACCTATTTGTAGTGGCCAAAATCATGGATAAGCAAGAAATTCTTGGTGGATAAAGAATATTTTATAGACAAAAAAATATACATCATTATTCCATTTTATTTACTGGTGTAATAATTCTAACAAAATATGATGGGGATCAACGTAAATTATGATCCCAAACCCTAACGAGAGGCAGAAAGCAAGGAGACACAAACTTGTAAGTGTAAATGAAAACCACCAAGTTTGTCGATGTTTTCGCACATTGTGTTTGTTTTTATCATTGACGAGTTAGGTTCGTGTGAGATCAATGATTCAGTTGGTACACGTTCAGGCCAGGTTAGCCTGCATGGACAACCGAACAAAAGGAGAAAGTATTAGATATTTTCAATTGAGTCTCCTAGTCTACGTTTGTTAATGTTTTTATTCTAAATTTAAGATATTATGCAATAAAAAGACATCCTCTTTTTCATGAAACTTTAACGTTTTTTTGTGAAAAAAGGAGAATATTTTAAACTATAGACCTAATGGAGAAATCTATATATATGCATGATGCTTTGGAGATTTAATTGGGAAAAAAAAAAAGGTAAAAACTTGGGTTAATGATTATGGGAATTAGTATATGTCATTGAGTGGCCCATCACAACATTTTTTTTTGTTCCGACAAAAAAAAAAAAAAAAATAGTACGCACATTAACCTAAAATAATGTTTTAACAATGAATCAAATTAAAAACAAATTATTTCTCTCTCCTTCCAGACGAAATGCACATTCTAGCTAGGATTTAAAAATAAAGACTCTAAAAACAAAAAAGTGAACTTCGGATGGTCACTTTTTGTTATTTTAAAAAGGGAAGATATACAAGTGGACTAGTCATATTCTCAACAAGGCACGTTGCATCCTCAATATCTATTGGAAAACATATTAAAAATTAATACCATGTGGTTTGATCCATTTGCAACTTAGTGACCAAGTCCTCCGACTTTTAATTTTTTCAATTATGAACTAATCCTTTCGAACAATAAAAGCAATCTGTATGGAAGATTTTGTACCAGAAACAAAACATATATAGTATACAGTCCAAATAATAATACTAAAAGAAAACACGAAAGCCGAGTTTTAAGATCTTAGTTGTCTAAAGAATCAATTAATCGTTCCTCTTGCATTACTTATCAAAAAAGAAATTAATCCTCTTTCATATTTCAAACGATAGAGTCAGCAGTCCAAAGATGAAAAATATTTTCATTTCTTGATAAAAGGGGATTGTGAACGAAATTAAAAATGGTGTTAGGTCCATATAAATAATTGATTAAGCTTATCCAACTCAAAATTAAATATAACTAATTAATTAATGTCATTTTCCATCACAGTTAGATAGATTATGAACGGTAAGTGAAATTGCATTGGCGACACATACACTTGCATTAGAAAATTCTGAAAAAATCCAAGTTGCTCATAACAAAATAAATTGTTGAAAATAAGAGATGCTGTGACCTCAGCCCTTCCCTCTCCTTGTAAAAGAAACTAAAAATAAAAGTAAAAGAAGACGAGCCACAAAATCATGCTTGCAGTGATTGACCAATAACTGGGTCTGGATGCACATTGAACCCGGTTTTTTGGAAACAGAATTACTCTCTAAGATCCATAACATACCCTAACATACAACATATATTGTACTTTTATCTGATATTTTGAAATATTCTGCTTTAAGATGGAATATACAAAACTGATCAAATTACAATAAAAAGAAAAAGGAAAAGAAAATGGAATTAATTCTAACTTTGCTAAATATAAACTCATTTTTGGTATAGCTTCCCATTGATGAGTTGATCATTATTGATCCAAAAGAAATCCTTCCAAATCCTCTAAACTTGGAAATAAATCATCGCTGAATACTAAATCTGGCATGACAATTTCCTTGCTTTCATTTTCTTCCAAAATCTGCCCTTGATCTAATAATTCCTTATTTTTGCTACTCACATGTTGCAACGATTCATCTTCAATGGAAGTCGTTGAAGTGGTTGTTGAAGAGAGAACCCCATCAAAATTTGGCGAACGTTCGTCTTTGACTGTTGGCATGTTGGGCTCAATATTTGTAGTGGCTTCTTTAGGCATAGCGGTCGGCTTGATTCTGGTGCTACCAGCCAGTGAGCTTCTTCGAGTAGGATGGGCATGGCTGTGCTCAGCTGTGTAGGTTATGATAAATGTTGATGGATCTGTACTGCTTCTTTCCACTTGTTTTCTTGCCAAACATCCTTTGAGACTGCTACATCTGTAGTAACTCCTGTTTGTTGTTCATTAAAGCAAATAGAGGACCATCAAATAATGCAAAGGAAACGTTCAACAAGTTTGGTGCAGCATTATTTGTACCATTTCCAGGCTACCCTTCAATTACCCTAAGTGTAGCTAGCTTGTACGAAAATGATACTAGTCAAGCCCTTCAATTAGATTCTAATCTTGCTTTACCACACACAAACAGAAAACGCAGATATTAAGACCAACACAGAGAGCTTTCTTTACCTTGGATATGGAGATCCCTTGATGGGTTTCTGCCCATATTTGCGCCAAGCCCACATATCAGAAGAGAGACCATCTTCTTTCACATGTTGAACAACTCTTTTTTGCTGATTCTTCCTGCCGAATCATCAATATTTCAGAAACATCAATATCGACGGAGGACATCTAATTAAATTAAAAGAAACTGTGTGAATTGAATTCTAAATACAGAAAAGCAAGCAAAATCATAAATTTATTCACCTCCTTTTTGATTTGGCTGCACTATTAGCATCACTGCTATTTGCACAGGTTGTTGTAGGTTTCTTCTTTTGCACCTTTTCTCCCTGTTTCTCTTCTTTGGGAATAGATATGGATGTGGTACTGATACTCGTACTAAGGATATTGTTTTGTGGGGAATTAAGGGTTTGGTGCAACACAGGGTAGAAAGGCCTGTAAAGGCCATCTACTTCAACAAAATCAGTCGGGGTTTCAAAACTTTCTTCGAAATTTAAAAGCTCATCTTGATCAAACTTCAAAGGAGCAAACAAGGAAGGTGGGTTGTCCATGATATTGGCAAACTCTTCATAATTAGTACTCCATCCTGACCTCACCAAAGCTTGCAGATCCCAGCTGTCCTCCATGCAAACAAACTCACTCGTCATTTATATACCAGCTAGCGCAGAAAGGAGAGCTACGGAAGAGGGAGAGGGAGAGTTGCTGACTTTTTGATCGGAGCAGATATAAATTTGAGAGATGAATATATATTAAAGGTTAGATTCCAGGCAGGCTGTATATATATAGATTAATAGAGAGTGGCTACTGCTACTTTGAAAGTCTCATGCTTCTCCATTTCGTTAGATAGACTGGATTTTTTGCTGCTGTTATTGCATTTCCATTGAGTTGACTTTAATAAAAAGTCAAAAACGTAAACAATAAATTATGGACCAATAATTTGGATTTTATACATTCCCATTGGATAAAGCCAACTTGCTTAGACTCATTCGTCGGCCATGTCATCTACTGGAGTAGATTATGGCTTTTTGTAAAGGGCAAAAAAACAGGTTGGCTTCTTTTCTTTCAATTACTGGGAACTTATTAATGAACGGCTCCATCAAAATTGTATAATCAAGCAAAGTTAGTGTTCATATCTATGTTAAGGTACTGAAAATAATTAATGATTAGTTTCTAGATCAGCCCGTTGGAATGATAATTTTGAGCGTTAAATTGGCATGCATGTTCCACATGATATGAAGAATTATACACTTTTATATTTAGATTTTAGATGTGTCCAACAAAAACGACTGACATCTGTCAAAATAAATAAATACAATCGAACAAAAAAGGAATGGTTGTGATTTTTTTTCTTTTTAATTATAAAACTAGTATTTATGTTACGTTGTACTGTTAATATTGCTATTATATAATTTCTATGTTTTTAAATGTTAGTATTCTTTGACTTTCTAAATAGTTTAGAGAAATTATTAATTGTCATGATATATCAATTTTTTTTATCTTTTTTTTTAAATATTTTTTATCTTTAAAAAAATAAAAATATTTAAAAAAATACAATATTTAAAATTTTTACTTAATAATTATTTTGAAAAATCTTTTTGAAACAAAGAAGATATTATATATGTGTGTATGCGTCTATCATCCGTTGTTGGTTTTGTTTTTACTTGTTAGAGAGATGTACGTTCATCATGAATGATAAAGCTAGCTAGAGCCACGATCGTTTGCTAGTGCTGGGAACCCTCTAGTGATTGTTTTATTATTTCGTGCTAGTCATTGGGACATTGTAGAGAGTCACGAGTCCCATAATCGGTCCCCTTCCCTCCCCGCACGCCAAAGGAATCAGGGGTTACCTATTACCATACATAGATATATACCTAAATTCTCCGAAGTCGATTGCCACTCCTCCCACTTGTATTATTATTATTATTATTATTATTATTATTAGGAGTTTCACGAGGATAAATCTATCTTGAACTAAGGTATAGTAATGGTGTTCACTCATCTTATAAATTCTAACTTATCCATTTTAGTATTTAAAAAAGATTAATTAAACACTAAAAAATTATGATTAAAAGAATTCAAAAATATACATATATTTTTAGATCATGATTTTAAAGTAGAATCTAATTATAATGTTTAGTACTAACTGAACGACCTATGTATATTTTTAAAGTTTTTTCTTATCATATCTTTTTAATATTTAGTAAGAATATCTAATAGTGGTATGTAAACCGAAAAGACGAGGGTTGTTTCTTCAGTGTAAAACTCCCAATAATTAATACTACAGCTTTTCGTGTGTTTAGTCTTCCATAAAATATTCTTACTTATATAATTAATACTACAGCTTTTCGTGTATTTAGTCTTCCACAAAATATTCTTACTTATATATATATATATATATAACGAGTAGAAAGACCCGCTAGCTAGTTCCTCCTCGAAATTAAGTACTCAGTTTTGCCAAATATTTTTCCGAGAAAACAAGTTCAATCGGTGGTCAAAGAGGAAAAAAGAGTCGGTAGGCGCTAGCAAGCAACTTGCGAGGAATTTTTAGGCACCTAGGCAGTTTCTATCCAACGTGAAGCAATATGTCCATGGGAAAAAAAAAAGCAGGCATGGTCTTTATGTATATATATTACGTAGATATCAGGGAAGCTCATAAAATAAGATTTTGGTTCCCCTTAGACCACTACCGTCATATCATTTAAATGCATATGATTATGATTATTGTCCCCATTCATCAATTTTTTTGGTTTTCCATGAGGAAACTATTAGTATACCCTCCACCTATTACGTAGGTTTCAATTAAATCCGTCTCCTACTTAATACCCTTAACATGACCTCCAAGCTTTCAACATATGAAAATTGTGTAAATCTCTTCTTTCCATTAAGTAAATACCAAATTTCTTATTACATCAGGCATAGAACTTAAGTTAGCCCATTTACTCTAATTTTCATGATCACAAACCTTCCATATATATATATTTCAATTTATCTTAAAAATTACAGTTTTTAACTTCATTGTTACGATAAATTGTAACTTACAAAGATAACAAAATTAATACTTAAAGTTATTAGGACAATTAAAATTAGTGGTTACAAAATAAGGAAACTAGAAGAAATAAGGAAACTAGAAGGAATCCATGTGTAATTTAAAACGGCAAATTGACATCCCATCGATGGAGGGATGAGATTGGCATAATTTTTACAAGTTGAGGGTAATAGGGTTGCAACCAATAGGAGAGAGACATAATTGTACTTTGCATCCTTCGCTCTTTTTTTTTTTTTTTTTTTTTTTTTGCTTCTTTTACCTATAAATAATAGACTATAGAGTGTGGTTGTGTGTAGGCAACTAGCAAGTAGCAAGAATTGAAAAGATTGAAAGCTCTTGGTTGTGGCAATTGGGAGCTGCCCCACGCGGATTGGTAGTGACTTTCAAGCAGGGATGCAACAAGGACTTTTTTTTTTTTTTTTCAATGAAATTGAAAAAGACTAAATGAGGAAAGTACGCCAGAATTTGATGTCTCAGTAGTTAGGTTTGCATTCAAACATTAACGCTGGGAAAAAGCTATTGTTTTTTCCCTGATGACGAAGGTAGTATATGATTTGAAAATGAACTAGGACCTTACTTCTTATTGGCTGGAATTTTGTAAATTCTTTGGAAGATTTTCCGTACCCAGATTGAGCGCCTGAGAAACAAATCAAGGAATCTTTCTAAACATAAGTCATTCACACGTAACACGGGTACAAAACTTCTTATGCTGCATGTTTTATATATGGCATGTATTTACAGAAAAATAAAAAAATAAAATTGGAGCAAAAGTGGGTGAAAGTGATTTTTATATGGTTTTTAAAAATATACTCAAGTGATAATTACATTAAAATTAATATATGTTTCGATAATTCTTTTGGCATTATGTTAAATTATTTTTATTTTCCATTCTTAGTCTTTTTTTCCTCCTTAATTTCAGTTATATAACTTGATTGACAAAATAATCATTCAGTCTTACATTCTCAATAAATAAATAAATACACAAAACATAGAGAGAGATAAGCCGTTAGGCATTAAGAAGATTAGTTAGTTCGGTCATAGCTCTTATTGTATAAAACTATCGAAAGTTTCTATAAAAATAATTGGATATTGTTTCAGAGGATTAAAAAATCAAAATTAGATCTCTAGCAAAATAATTAATGAGTTTTTTGTTTTACACCTACTATTATATCAATTTTCATATCTAAACTAGCTAAAAACACCGCTTTGGTGTAACAAAAAAAAAAATAATAATTTATTTACATTCGGATAAAAAAAATTATAAAAAAATGTTTCAAATAACATAATTTTGTTATGAAATATTAAATGTCTACGGTCATTCTTATTTATACTATTAATCATACTTTTTATTGAGATCCAATTCACTATTATCATTCATGATGACACAAGAATTGAAAAGTTTTTGGATTTGATTCAACTTTTCATGAATCTTTTCTAATCCTTTCCAATTCTCTTCATAATCCTAAAGTTTATAAATAAGATTGATTATTCATTAGTTGGTAGGTGTTTTTTATAGAGATTGAGAGAGTTGTTTTAAAGTTATTATCACTTGTATTCACTTTTTTATAGTAAAGTCATTTTTTATATAATTTTTATCTCTAATTTTATTATTGTTATCATATATTTTATAACATATTACAAGCACAAACCTCTAACTAACCGAGATAATAAATCATGAGATATGTACCTATCAAAAAACTCAATTATTTATTTTAATCATTGGATTTTTTTCTACACGAATACTCGCCAAAAGATCTAAATTATCTAGATCATTAAGAGATATATTTTTAATTTATCATTTACTTTAAATCCAATGATACGTAAAGTATACATTTGAAAACATTTGAATGATTTAATAGATAGAATCTAATAATCTAATGTATGTTGTTTTGGAAAGATTCAATTTTATTATTATATTTGTTAACATTATTATTATATCTTGCATTATAGAATTTTTATCATATCAAACTCACAAAGTTTTATTTTGTGGCCCTTGATATTTTGAGCAAGAATTATTGATCATGTTGTTAATGATGAGAAGACATTCTCTACTTTTTGTGTCTCAAATTTTGTTTTAATCATTGAATTGTTTTTCTACACGAATACTCTACCAAAAAATCTAAATTATCTAGATAATTAAGAGGCATATTTTTAATTTATCCTTTACTTTAAATTTAATGATAAGTAGAGTATACATTTGAAAATTTTGAATTATTTAATATATAAAATCTAATGATCTAATATATATTTTTTGAAAATTTTAAATTTTACTATTATATTTATTCTTATTTCCTAACATTATTATTATGTCTTGTATTATAGAATTTTTATTATATCAAACCCGACAAAGTTTGATTTTGTGGCCATTGACATTTTGAGTAAGAATTATTGATCATGGATGCTTAATGCTTAAAAAACATTCTCTACTTTTCATGCCTCGAGTATGCTTCGCAACAGACAAATCAAAAAAAGAGTTTTAAAAAATATCATGAATTGAATTCATGTTTACTTATAGCTAAATAAAATAAAAATTTATTGATGAAAAATTATGAATCCCACCCAACTAGGTCTACTCTATTT